TATACTGCACGCTGGCTCAAGTATGTCCAAGTTTCCAAAGTATGTCCTCATTTGCAAAACCCTGATGCCTGAACTTCTTCCCGACCCTTTAAATGGAGCCAGTTGTCAATGAATTTGTCATATTTCAGCAGCTCTCCATATTTTTTGATAAGTACTGTGGTATTAGTAGTGCACCTTTCTAATTAATATTTATCTTTGCAATCTGATCATATAATTGATTGCCATAACCTTTCTTTAGAATTCACAATTGTTCTTCCCTGGAGAAAAGGTAAAATCTAGAACATTACTCTTTCTTTTGCTCATTACTTTTTCTTTTGTGTTAGGAAACTCCTATGGTCTTTAGCCACCCATCTCTCCCAGTGCAGTCTAAAGCTATGTTAGAAAGGGGCAGGCCCTCATTCCCTGGTGCAAATACCAGGCCCTGTGCTCCCTGCTCTGTGCTCTCTGGGAAAGCCAAAGAATTAAGGAATCTAGAAGGAGGCTAAGGGAGTGCTTAGGTCCTCTCTCCTAGTGGGTTAGACCAACATTTTAATCTAGTGTGTCAGTGAATTGTTCATATCTTTCACCTGGATAAGTTTCAGTGGATTCAAACAGTTCTACTTTATCTACAGGTAAATTAGGAACATCATTTATAGTTATGTTAATGGTTTACACAAGTTATATTTTATAGAATTGATTGAATAATTTCTAAGTGTTTAAAGTCTATAATGGGCTACTTTTTATTAAAAGCTGTGACATATTCATATACATAACAGAAAATATGACATAGTAAAAGTCTAAGGAAAATCATAAAGATCTCCCCTGTCCAAGTGCCTTCCATGACCTTCATACATACTTGATGGAACATTTAAAGAAATCTGACTTCTTGGTGGGTTTGGCTCACTCACAAGAACTCAGTCATTCACTTATCTCAAGGTTATCACTCCCTCCCTTCAGGGACCTGGCCAGTCCTTGGGGAATGAAGCATTCATGAGGAGATCACTAGGTCATGCAAGTTGTTAGAACAGAGTTCTGTTGGTTCTAACTTGTATTCAGGGAGCTCTGCTGGGAATGACTTTGGAGTCTCACCCATGGATAAGGTGCTCTGCCCAGGACTTCCCAGTAGGGACCCTGAAAAGCTGCCCCAGGACTCCAAAGCTACATGATTTCAAGTGTTGGTGTTTCCCCCAATTTAGCGATGTATTTTCTTCTCTTTCTTTCTCACCTATCATTTTAGCTTTTGCTCTTGTTTCCATATTATTACTAAAATAAATATTATGTTGTATAAGAGAATATTTGTATTGTCTATTGGATCTGACCTGCCAAATTCTGTGGCTGTACAAATATATAACACTTTTAACATTACACATTATGAAACAAAATTTAACAGCCTGATTTTTGAATTTCGGTTTTACATGAGTTAATTATGATGCAGTGATGTAGAGGGCAATTCCTTGAAACTGACACTTGATTTAGATCTTTACTTGCTACTAACAATAACCTTGATCTTCCTCAAGTCATTTAACTTTTCTGGGCCTTCATTTCCTCGATTTAAAAAGGAAGGTATGTATCACATTGTATTGTGTATTTTACATAAGCAATTTATTTAATCCACCTAAATTTAAATGTAAAATACTTAACACAATGTGGTATATTGTGTTAGCTGTTACCAAACTATATTAACTCATTCAAATTTTATTATCCTATGAGTCAAGCAGTAATGATATCATTAATATTAATAGTTCTACTTTTAGATGGAGAAAGCAAGGCCAATCATTATTAAATGATTGTACAGAAAGAATATCTGCCAGAGCTAAATTCGAACTATGGCATTATGGTTCTAGTCTCTATGCTCTGAGAAACTAACTCTATATAGCAGTGTGCCTGCAGATCATAAACATTTCAGCATTTTTCACAAGTTATAAGGAACACGTTTTCAATGTGCATGATGTCATAAAATAAATATGCTTTTGTAAAATAATAGTATTTGTCTATTTTAACATGTGATGCTGGAGTTTTTAAAATAGACAGTTATGTCTGGTGCTTGGTAAGCTAATTTATCAAACAATATACCCTCACTGAGGACAAAGAAAGAATTTTTCTCTCTGATCTCTTTCTCTTAGGTTATTTTGTTTAGTTTGGTTTTGCTTTGTTTGGTTGCCTTAATTCTCTCCTCTCCTCTACTTTGCATTGACTATTTTTGGTCCAAGATCCCATGTTCGTAATGTAGAGTTCACAGTGAACAGGAATATAGTTCTTTTTTTTTCTGAGATGTAATTGGAATATCAGAAGACTTTGACCTCAATGTGGAGTTCAAATTTCTATGTCCAAAATATTTTATACAATTATTATTTTATCCTTTAAACATCTGTAGTTTTCACTGTATGGTTTTATGTCAAGATGATATGTGAATGGTTTAAAATAGTTTTTACAGAAAGAGTTAACAATGATAAGAGTACAGACAGATAAATAGCTTATTAGACACATATTCCCTAATATAACATCAACTATCTCCTGAAGAGGAAGAACAAATCAAAGCAATTATATTTATGTTTTAAATATATTCAAAGTTAGGTCAAGTCCAAACTACCTTCATAATTTTAAAAAGAATGTTACATTGTGAGCTACAAATATCGGCCTAATTATGTATCAATGGAATGGCTTTGGTTCCCATTGCCTAAATTTGCTAAGACCCTGCCTGTTAAAGACCTTGAGTACTCTGATGGCTCATTAGCGTCAATGAGCATGCTGGTCAGTGTGGAAGTGAAGTGGTTAAAAAACTCTGCTGTCCAAGCACTGCCCTGACTATAATCTTGGGAAGGGACTCTGGCTTTGGTGTTTTTCTAAGGCTACCCAGGTGACTCTACTATGCTGAACAGGCCAATTTAACAGATTACTGGACTTTCATGCACTCTAAACTGAATGAATGGCTTTTAATAGTATTCTTTCTACTAGAAAAATAGGATTCACTTCTCAGTCATTTGAAATGTGCCTCTCATCACAGGAGGAAGCATCTTCCCAAGGAGTAAGGAAGAATCACAAAGGACATTATTTATCTTTCAATGGGCTTTACCAATCATTCCATGCAAATATGTTTATTTATCAGACTAATAAATGAGTTGTTCTGCAGCTCTGTGTTTAGATTCACATGCAAGATTCTCAGCATCTTCAAAGAAAAGTGTTCCATAATTTCTAAAACCTCAAACTCAATTGCTTTTTATCTTTTTTCTGCTCCCTACATATATGTGATTTTTGGCAGGTGGAATTTGCATTGATCAAAATCAAAGGGACAATTTTTTAAAGGCAAAAATCAAAATCAAACAGATATTGCAAGCAGGATGAAGATCCTTAGAAAGAAAAATATTGGAATACAATATTCTTAGAACTCTATTATCTTCCAGGAATCTTGTGTTTCTAATTAGAGTGAATAGTTTCATTATTAGGGAGTAGAGAATCTGAGCTTTCTATCTTGGGGATACTTTCCCAAATAGATAAGAGCTCATCCTGCAATAGCAGAGTCAACTTTTATTAGCAGATGAACCAGATGCCAGACAACCTCAATGAACAAGAGAGTAATAGTTAAACTGAGAAGAAAAATCGCTTGATTCATAAAAGACATGGAATTTCACCCTGGGCTGACCCAAAATGTCTCAGATGGTAAGTGGCTATGGATGTGACAGAAGTTTACTGGCCTAAAATAAACACAAAGAAAATGAATAAATTTGATTTGCTTTTTAGTGGAAAAAGAAGTATGTGCAGTGTGTTTTTTTTTCCCTAATATTGAGCACACAACCTGTTTTTAGGGCCCTGAATATACCACCTACAGAGAAGCAAAGACTGAGAACCTTTAAATAATCCTACATAAAAGGCCCAAGGAGCCAAGATATGAAAAGAAATATTATGTCAGTTTCTTCATAGTTTATGTTCTTTCTCCTGCTCCCCAACAATCTTTTCCTTTTACACATGGGGTCATCAAGGACAGTGTTCATTCTACTGAAGAATAGATTTAGTTTTAAGCCTTGTCACTTGGTAGGGAACTAAGGGCTTCTTTATGTCTGAGAAGTTTATTTCATGATGCTTTTACTTAAGCATCATGAAAGTTCATAAGACCCTTCAATATAACTATCAAACAAGTCTTCCTATGACCAGGCTGCAATTATACATGGAAGTGGCTGCAAAGTGAGCAAGATCTTCACTGTGTGAGAACAGAAACTCTAAAATAAGTTTTAATTCACATTACCTTTGGAATGTGTTCTTCTCCAAGCCTGTATAATGTACTCCTAGTAAGTATGGGGAAACTTTCGAAAAACATTTTTGTTTGTTTGTTTGAATGTCAAGAACTCAGACTCATTAAGGAGTGTTTTCATGCAAATAATTGCTCCAGCAAGATTCTTGTGCCCAAGAGTCTATTCTACATACCAGGAAAATCCAGAAACTGCTTTTCCTGTTCAAAATTCAAAGTAGGGATGAAAATACTAGAAAGCATATTCCTCGCTGTTCTATACTAGAAAAAAAAGACTTTACCAAATCTCTTTCTTTTAACTGAATACTCATGAATGGTGTCATAAGATATGTCAGCTATATTAATTTAATCAACATACCACAAATTTCTGGAATTGCTCACCTGGTGAGCAAAATAAATTATGCTTTGAACTGTATAAAAGAGAAAATTAAAAAGAGAGCACTACTGATTATTTGTGTGTGTGTGTGTATTCCTTTTTTAACCTTGCAAATATATATATGTATGCATGTATATATGTGTGTGTGTGTGTATATATATATATATATATATATATATATATATATATATATATATATTCCTTTTTTAACCTTGCAAAAATACTAGGAAATACAAACAGCTACATGTTTACAATTCAAACTCAAAAATATCATAGCAAGGATAGATTTTTTTCTTGAAATAATGCATTTACAGAGTTTGACACAAAGCAAAATAGCTGGTTCTACAACTCAGAAGAATCAAAAGATACTGCAGTAACACAAAATTGACTTTTAATGTTTGTTTGCCAGTTCATTTTATCTTACAGAAAATGAAAACATTTTTTAAATACAGATTGTTTCTTCTCTTCGAATTTGCACTAGTAGGTATTAAATGCCTTTAAATACTGGTTTTCTTTGTGGCTTGATGACTTTTGTATTATTCATTTCTTTTGTTGTACACCATTGCTGTTCTGGCAGTAGAGAGCTATGATACAGTTAATTTTTCAACACAACTATGTCAGTTGTCCATTGATCTTTCTTGGTGCATTCTATACTACAAACTGATAACTGATTCCCTTTTAATCCTCCCCTCTTTAGTGGTCAGCTACTACATAAGACCACCATATTCTTTGGAGTACTGAAATCAAGAAAGCCAGTATGGCTGCCAGCAACCAAACTGGAAGCTCCATTGAGTCTACTTCTAATTGCCAAAATAACAAGCCACTATAGTATTGCATAAAACAAAACTTTAATAGGTACCAGCCCCCTTTCTATGAGAGAAAGTTTAAGTTTACAAATGCTGTCGTTAGCTAAAAATTACTGTGATAAAATATGGCAGCAGTCATTCAAAGATGGCTTCCAGTGTTAATGTGACAACTTGTTTTCAATCTTAGTACTGTGTTTGTGTATGAATTACTTCTTTTTATTTGGATTTCAAGTGTGTTTCAGTGAAATTTGTAAATATATTTTGCTCCTTATATAGATCACAAGAGCTAATTATAGATAAAATGATGGAAACAAGATTTTGTAACCCAGCCTTCCATCTCATTTGCCTGATACTTTTGGAATTATAGTCTTAAAAAGTAACTTCTGAATTAGTGCTTGTTATACCACCTTTATGTTAGGTATTGTACTAGGAGATACTTTTCTTTCTCAAACATTCTCAGTGAGATACCTTGGGTAATGAAGTAGGAAAATATACATCTGATGGACAAAATAACAAAATGAGAACATTAAAAAGACCCCTTATTCAATTAGGAGTCCAAGGAGAGTGAAGATTTACTTTGGGTAAAATAAACAGTTTAAAATTCTGCTCAGCAGTGTTTGTTCTGTTAAGATTGTTTTGTTTTCTGAGCATGGGGGAATGGTGGGCAATTCGTAAAGGTTTTAATCAATTAATGGTCACTACAGAGATTTTGATCAGCACCAATTCCTATACTTATAAGTATTCAAAAGTTAAGAAATGCTGCTATGCTCAACATTATAAAGGCATATTCTGCAACAATAACTGAGGACTACATACTTGCTTCAATAGAAAGTTTTCCCACTTACATTTCTAATAAGATTTTTGTAATATAGGTAATAATTGTTCAAGTATGAGCTTTTTCCCAGTAAGCTAACCCTCATGCTTAAGGTGTTGGAGTTGCTCCTTTGGAAATAGTCCCCTCTTTAAATAATATATTCATCTTATTCTAGACCACTCAGGCATCTATCTATACTTTAGAAGTATGAGTTCTATTTATACCAGCAATGTTTGAATTAAACCTCAGAATCTCTTTGGATTTAAAGTTTTGCATAATTTGCATATCCAAACTAACTTAAATATGTGCATGCATACATTGCCATCCTTTATTATTAAAGCATCTGAAATTTTCAAATATGCTTCTGATGAAAGAAAGGATCTACTTTTATTTACAATATTCTGTCTAGATAATATATGAGTATAGTTATGGTTTCATGGACTTCCAATTGTTTTATACCTTCCACACACATAACTCTATATTTATAGAGTAAATTTATTAGAATTATTACAGAGCTTTAAATGCAACCACAATCAATTCAGGAAACATATTTATTTACTTATGTCCATGGGAGAAAAATCTACATAAAAACATTCGTGAAGGCATTCCAGCTATGTCATACTTGGATTATTATACTAAATCCCATTTATTAGAACTCATTGCAAAACAATGGGAAACCATGAAATGTAATTTGAATACAAATATTGGTCCCTGTGGGGTCTCAACATGTCATAAAAATATAGGAAAAGAGAGCTATATTTAAGATTGGAGCTGTTGATATGGAAAGTTGTTTTTCTGAAGTTGGACTTAACTTTTCATTTAAAGACCTGAAGATTTTAATGTAAACTGTTGGATGACAGCTTTAGCATTTCACTTATGCCCAATGATGACCAGCAAAGAAAGAGACACTGACTTCGTTTTCTATTTGGGTGAAGGTTTAGAACTATATTGTTGACTTTTTCCCCCAAAAGTAGGCACCATGTAGGATTTGCTGTGTATATTCAATAGAGATAATAATTTTGAAAGTTGGGTCTTTGTTTCTTGGTTAGGCAAGTATACAGTTATTAATTCCTTCTATGATTTAACTTTTTTCATGTAATGTAAATAAGAAAGAAATATTAAATAAAGTTATTTTTATAAAGGATAATAATGTTTCATAGGCTAACACAAAATCAAGCAGCTAATTTTATAATTTTTCTGTCCAGCAGTTTATCTATGTAACTGCCCTGAGTAGATGCTAAATGCTGCTTAGCAAAGGGCCCTTAGAATTTAAATATAACTCAGTAAAGCTACTCAAAAGATAAAACAATTCTTCTGAGACATGTGTAATTTAATTAGAAGAAAGTAGGAGTTTCTTAATGGTTAAATATCATTTGCTTATTTGAGTCTCATACTACATATAAATGGGGTTATTAGGGAGTTTTAACTGTGCTTATTACTATGCATTTGAATCCATATGAATTCTTTTTGGTCAAAAAGGCAAAATTTTTAAAGAGTAAAATACTGGAGAATTGAAATATTAACTTTTAGAAAAGTGTAGATTGTTCCCTTGTGAAACTGAGTTTTGTGCAACCTCTCAGAATCTCAATTTATGTAAAGAAGTCTGTATTTCAAATCTGTTGCTCTAATTTTTTTTCATCATAGTGCATTTCAAAATTGTAGAAATGTGTAAAACTTGTGCTTATGGAAGCTGCTGTTCTGAGTAGCTTTACATTCTTTAATTTAATCCTAGCACTTTTCAAGCTATTGCATGCTCCGCTCATGAAAGGATACTTTGTTGGGATGATGTAGCTTAAACATTTTGGCTCAAAAGCCTCCTTATGTAGAGCTTCCCTTAAAATTATATTAATTTATAATATATATTGAATGATAGCTTTACAAAAACAAATTCATGAATTGGTTTTTATGAAAATGACTCTTTACAGTAAGTAAAAAAGGGTTGTCACAGTTTTGGTAACTTGCATGAGTTCATACTGGAAAAACAAACAAACAAAAAAAAACCTTTCACATGTTCTTAATGACTTTAAAACAGATGCACTCTAGGCGCACACTCAGTTGTATGCTCTGAAGCAGTAGACACCATACAGCTTATGCTTTTTATCTGGGAAGCCCACGAAGCGCACTGCCGCCTCAGTGGGACTGCAGCGCCTTCTTGGTCTAGAGATAGGGTAGCGAACGCTACCATCTGCCAACCAGCCAGCATCGCAGCGGTCATAGCCGAGAAGTTTCCAGGCAGCAAATATCTGACCCACTTTGGCAATCTGAGCACCATCATTGAGACAAGCTTGCACAGCTTCGTCATAGGTTAGCTTGGTGGGGTGGATCAGATAGTAAAAACGGCCTGTGGAGGAAGGAGAGAGACAGATCAATGGGCTTGTCTGCAATAGAGCCACACCAAAATGGAGGGAGAAAAAAACAGAAGTGCTTCTCAATGAAGGGAGTTGTAAAGCAATATTTGTGATGTTTCTGGAATGTTAGGATTGTCAATTGAATGTAATATCCCTGGGTCGCTCTCCATTAAATTCATCTTTCTCCTTGTCCCTTAATGTGTGTTCAGATATGCTCTTTATAGCTTTAAAAAGAAAAGGGAGATGACAGATGCAGTTTCTCTTAGCTAATTAGTGACTAAAAGGGCCCTTCTGTGGCATTAGAGAAGACAGAATCCCATGTTAAAAGCAAGGGCTATTTAAATTCTAGCAGTAGCAAGACTGAACCCCAGTACAAGTTTCTGGAGAGGCGAAATTTGAATGTGAAAGGATCAAAAACCATTCCTGACATAAAAGTCCATTTGAGAAAATCAAAAGCCCTCAAGTTCTTTTCATTACAGGTATCAATAAGACATTATTCTCCTTCAAAGACTACAGTATGAAAATGCATAAAATACAGGAAGTCACTTGCCACAAATAATACATACTCAGAATGTAAACCCAGTCTGTGTTCCCTGACTAGTAAAGAAGATGAATTCATTGATTTTATTCAACTTCCTTCTTTTGAGCCCTGACACTTTGCCATTTCTCAATTTCATAAGGAAGACAAGTTAGTCTTTAACCATTTCTTGCATAGTGTTAATTACTGAGATACTGTTGGTATGTATTAAATATACATAAAAACACACTGAGAAACTTCTCTGTCATCTCAGTTTCAGTTATAAAATAATCACCTTCTTTTGTTTGATTACATTTTATAATTGATGTCCCCCTGACCTTCATTAAATACAGGTTATTGAAGTATAAATTAATACATACTAGTTCTTTCTAGACTGAGGGGATATAATTTGGGGAAAAAAAAAGTAGAGACCACAGGAACATTAATTAGTTAGTTCTGTCATCTATACCAGAGGTCAGCAAACCACAGTGCATAAGTCAAATCTGACCTCTTAAATGTTTTTGTAAGTGAAGTTTGCTGGAATACAGCCGTGGTGAATCTACTCAATATTGTGTGTGGCTGTTTTTGTGCTACAACATAATAAGCTCTGTTGAATAGATACAACAGGGAATAAATGGTCATCAAAGCCAAAAATATGTACTATTTGGCTATTTGCAGAGAAAGTTTGTTGACCTTCATTCCTTTCTGTTTTCCTCAAAGTATCAATGGGAACCTAAAACATAAAATGATGAGACCAGGACTTTCTTCATGGGTATGTTACCTGAGCAGTCCCTTGGGCCCTATGCTAGGTTTAGTGCTCTGCAGTCACCATCTTAAAATTCTCAATCATTTTTAACAAAGGGCCCACATTTTCATTTTGCACTGGGCCTTACAAACTATGTATCAGGTTCTGGATGGGGCAAGAGAAGGGCTGGGATTGGATGAATGTAACAGATGTGTCATTAAAATGGATGCAAACTTTTTTTGGCTTTTGCTTCCAATTTTATCCTTTTTTTTTTTTTTTTTGCTTACTCCCCTTCATCCTGGGCTTTGCTGATCATCATATTATAATTGAGAAGGGGAGAACACGTGTGATACAAAAACTCTCTTTTTTTCAATGGAGAGAACCATATCCATGGAGGATGCACAGTGGCAGCATTACCTGTGGCAATAAGAAAGGACCTCCATAACATGTGATAGTTTCAAATATTTCATAATAAAAATTGGACACTAGGGGCTGGGGATGTGGCTCAAGCGGTAGCGCGCTCGCCTGGCATGCGTGCGGCCCGGGTTCGATCCTCAGCACCACATACCAACAAAGATGTTGTGTCTGCCGAAAACTAAAAAATAAATATTAAAAATTCTCTCTCTCTCTCTCTCACTCTATCTTTAAAAAAAAAATTGGACACTAAAACCTAGGAGTATTGGAAATATGCATTTTTTGCTTGACTTATGTGGATATTTTTCAAGAACTCTTAATATCTTTTCAAACTAAACCAATACTTCAAAGTTTTTATTTTTTTAAGGAGGTAATACTTTAGTAGCCAAATATAGTGTTATAGTGCAGCTTGGTCCCTGGGGTAGGAAAGAAGGCAGTGAAGTTCATATCTTACCATTGAAGTTGGATGTAAAACAGAAAACATCATATCTGCTTTTATCTTTATCCCAGAACCCATAGTTCCTGACGCCGGGCACTGTGTTCTGGCCCCCACAGGGCTCTCTAGGTTTTGTGATGGGGTATTGCACAGACCCATCGCTGAGCCAGCCGGCATTACACCAGTCCAGCCCGCCCCGCCAGGCATCATAGAGCTGGTCGAAGGAGGCAATCACAGCATCCTGGTCCAAACAAGCCTGTTGTGCCTCATGAAAATTTAGATTGTAGCGCCCCAGTCGTGGAAAGTAAGGGAATACCACACCTATGCAAAAGAGAATGCAAGAGGTCATTAGTAGCGCACGTGCGCACACACACACACACAAACAACAACAACAACAACAACAAAAAAAAAAAACTGAGCAAATTCACTTCACTGATGACAAAAATACTAGAATCTCCATTAGAAGAGGTAGTTTGGGTTAATTGCAACAGCTGCCCATAGTTCCTTTTTCCTTCAAACAACCTCTCAGCCCTGAGGATCTCATGATTTGATAATGAAGGGATTGGCTGCCTTTGCTAAGAATTTGATTCATGCCTTAAAACCCTCTTTCTAAAAATGATTTGTCTGCAGTCCCAATAGTCCTCCACAAGCACTGCTACTGGTTACTAACCCTGTAACAAGTAACTACTGAACTCTTTCCATCTAGGGAAAATCCAGTATTAAACAGTAAGAGTGGCAAGAAATACAGTGCTTGGAGATAGTATATTTATTAAAATTTACAATGTTATTCTTAGTCATTATTCTTGGAATTAGTGATAAGTTTTACCTAGTCTTTGAAATGTATAAAAAACATGCTAAATAATTCAAATGTGTGTGTATATTACATATATGTCTATGTGTTCACATATATCATATAGTATCATATAATAGTGCTCCAGTTCTCTCATGACTATACAGATATATACATACATATATATACACAGATGCACATATATGTATTTCATTTTACCTGTGTTCCTAAAAACTTGCAGACCACTTAGTGGGATTCTAATTTGGAGAACATCTAAAGGGAATTGCATATCTGACAAAAATCTAATTAATGGTCTTATTTCATATTAATAAGATAATTTTGTACAAGGAAGTATTCCCCCATTAAGCACTGTGGCTCTTTTATCTGTTTCAACTTTTAATGTAGCTTTTAATGTTATTGTTTTACTGTCCTTGAAAGGTACAACTAAAATGAGAGCTTTAATTAAAAAAAATACGGATTTACATAATGCAAACTGAAAATAAGGTTTAAAAAACAATTTTATTATGGGTAGATTTTTTTTTAAAAAGTTTCCCTAAACTTGTCCTATATGATACAGGCACAGCATAGGCATCTTTTAACATCTTCATCTTACTTAAGAAATTAAATATTAAAGAATAAAATTCCTGGGCTGGGGATGTGGCTCAAGCAGTAACATGCTCGCCTGGCATGCACGGGGCGCTGGGTTCGATCCTCAGCACCACGTACAAATAAAATAAAGATGTTGTGTCCACCGAAAACTGAAAAATAAAATATTTTTAAAAAAGAGTAAAATTCCTTAACAACTGAATGTGGCATTACTCAGCATTTGATTTTGCCTGGGAAGATACATGGTTTTCAAAAGCATTTCTGTTGGTCAACTAATTATAGTAGTTGATTGAGCTATCCCTTGACATTCTAAGCAGTGTCTTAAAGGACAATTATTATCAGATTAAGAAAGCAAAGCTATACCTTTTACTGTACATTAAGAAAGACCATGTGTCCGAGTATCTCTCCCATAGTTAATGAAATAATTAATTCAGAGTGATTATGTTTCTAAAGTGACTAAAAGTTATTTGTATTTAGCATACGAAAAGCATAAGCTTGTGCAACTGACTGAGTAAATTTGGTGGGTTATGTCACATATACTACATTCCAAGACTGTGGAACCTATTGAATATGACGTACAATTCATGGACAGCATAACCAGTACACAGGAAATATTTTCTTTTATAAATTGTCCTGGAAGACTACAAAAAGAGATTTCAGTAGCCGAAAATAAAGTCTAAATCCTGAAGGACTCTGTAGGACACGTTTGTCCCACTAGAACAGTCCAGCTGGCACTGACCACAGGAGGCAGAAATCCAAGAAAGCTTCCTGATCTCATTCTGCTTTCTCAGGTTCTTGGCTGAAGGATCTATAAGCTGAATGGGAGCCAGAGGAAGACGGAAAAGACTCTCTTGGTTGCCACTGACTCCTGCTGTGGCAAGGGGGAGGCAGAACCTGGAGAAGGCTCTATCTAAGAAGGGCTTTGCCCAGGCTCCCAGCTAAGAACCCAGTGAGCGCCTGGAAAGAACTTCTCTGCTTCTGTCCCTCATGACTGCTGTCTTCTCTCCTCAGCAGCACCAGGAATGCGCAGGAAAGGAATATATTCCATTTATCTAGTAGCGATGTCTTTGGAAGCTAGAGTTCAAGTGACAAAAATCTCAAAAGTATTTCAACCTGAAGAAAGAAATGGTTTGGGCTGCCTTCCTTTCCCCAAATGGCTAAAGACTGAAGCAGTGGAAAAATGGGATATTTTTATTTTATAATAATTTTAAAGAAGAGGAAAACCCTTCAGGTTTAAATCCACTATAGTGTACTATGGGGGATTCTTATAGGAATTAGGGGAACATTTTTTTTAGTAATTTCTCCTTGACTAACTATTGAATGTTACTGAAATATAATTAAGTTCCAAATCCAGTGTAATATATTTTTCTTTGAGTAGTTTTCAAATTTCATATGGTTCCCTACAATCATTTCCTAAAGTAAAGTGAAACCTCATGTTAAAATTTTAGTATTTTTCAACAATAGCATAAAATGTAAACTTACTATTGTATCAATCTAAAACTTTTACTTAACAAATTTTAATTAATGTTTGATGATGCTGGAAAAAAAACAAGTTCCAAGTAAAACAATATCAGCTTCTGTGCCTTAAGCGGTCTAAGTTTTTAAATGTATATTCTGCATATTTACTTAATTTTATTTCCAAGTGGTTAATAATTCAACAATCTTAATTTTAGAATTCTTCTTATATATGGAAAAATGTGCAATTCCTACAGCTGAATTATGAGGTTCATGGTTGCTTTCATGAAGTGTTTTAAAAATAAGAGATGTTAAACTTTCATGGGTAGGAAATAAGGGTTTAGGACTTTTTTCCAAGCCATATTTGACTCATTTATCCTTTGTTATTATGTCAGACTATAATCAAAGCTCTTTTATTTTATATGAAAGGCTGGTATATATAACTGCAAATGGGATTAATAAGATGACACATCACATGGGAAACAATAATAGCAAATAATATGAAGAGTTTAGTCAGTTGAAGTATATTTTGAGGATACAGTCTTTAAGATTCATAATCACACAGCCCAATTGATTCTATCTATTTGTTGGCAAATAAAATTTGTTAGGCAGATGAAGGGTTTTCCTGTTCTGATACTCATAAAATTTGTTTTCATAAAGTAAATATTTCTGGTAATATAAAGGGCAGAGGCCATGTAGTATAAATAATTGTATCCCCCTTAGTGCCTCTTATAGTGCCTAGAAGCACTATGCACATATCTGAAGTTATTTTCTGTTTCTAAATGTTCTAAGACTATATGTTTATATGCCTGGTCCTATTTTCACTAATAGAATATTAATACAATGGACTTCTAATCTTCCTATAGGGAGAGGGGTTGGGAATAGAAAAGACATTAGAATGAATCAGGCATATTTTTCCTATCCTTATATATGAATACATGATCAAGTAACTCCACTTCATATACAATCACAATAATGGGATCCTAATTGGAACAGGTTATACTTATTTTATGTATGTACAATATGTCAAAATATACTACTATCATATATATCTAGAAAGAACAAATAAATAAAAAAGAATATTTATACAATGGAAGATTTGAAGAGCAAACCTCTTGTTTTTAATATTGTTTATTGTATTTATTGATTGCTGAAATAAATTCTGTAACCCTTATTTCACAGTATCTCTAGTGACTCTTCTTGTCATATATATATATATATATATATATATATATATATAAAGCTTATTCTTTGTGGTATGCTGTTTGTAGCAATGTGGTTAATTGGTAATGATAAGAAGATTTATCCTATCAAAGTTCTATACTCTATAAAGATTTGTACTTCAAATGAAATATCAAAAAGTATAATGATAGGCACAAGAATAAGATAAAATTCATAAGAATAAAATTTGTAGAATTTTGGTCAATAACCTGAGGAAAGTCTCTACATAGTATGGAACAGACAATCAAGATGCAGCAAATTATATGTGTAACAGGTTGAAAGCAAAAAAGACAAACATTATGGCTATCATTTATTAGCCTGTCAAGGGTCCTTTGATAAAGCAAATAAATTCTGAATATTAAGTGACTGTCTTCTCTAAAACAATTACTTCTTCTATCCTGAATAATGTCAATGTTCATGGGTATGAGTATAAATCAATAAAAACTGGAAGTACAGTTGGGCGCGGTGGCACACACCTCTAATCTCAGTGGCTTGGGAGGCTGAGGCAGGAGGATCCCAAGTTCAAAGCCAGCCTTAGCAAGATTGTAAGCAACTCAGTAAGATTTTCTTAATAATAATAATAATAATAATAATAATAATAAAAAATTTTAAAAGGGCTGGGGATGTGGCTCTGTGGTTAAGCATCCCTGATTTCAATCCCTGGTACCAAAACGAAACCTGGAAGTACAAAGCTGCCTGCCATCAGGAACCAAGAACTGGAACAAAGAAAGATCTGAAAAGTTCACAGAACTATGCTTTACAGCATCGTGCAATTATTAGACATATAAAGCTAATAAGTCTCCTAACATGTGATGGAATTCTGTGGAATTCTATGGGCTTATGGGATTCAGAAGGACAAATCTTCAGTGACCAGATGGGTAATATTTCAAAAGCCACAAATCTATCCTAGGAGCTGAAAGGAGATTCTAGCAAATTCATACCTATAGTTTTTTTAAAAAAATTTTTTAGTTTTATTTTTTAGTTGTTGATAGATCTTTATTTATATGTGGTACTGAGAATTGAATCCAGTGCCTCACACATGCCAGGCAAGTGCACTATCGCTGAGCCACAGCCCCATACCTATAGTTTTATAGAAGGAAATTATTCTATCAACACAGCCAAAATTCACTCCTTAATGTAAAATACTGCAGAAATTCAGGAAAAGTAAGATGGCTTGAGATAACATAAGAAACAAAGGAAAAATTTCCCCCAGATATTGTGCAGAAAGGAGGCAAGGAAGGGAAGAACAATTTTCGTCTATATAGCTTAGCACACATGTTAGCCTTTGAATCTCCTGAATGTATTACATGTTCAGGAAATGGAATTCCTCTCCAAAATGGCTTAATCAGTTGGTATTCAATGTCTAAGAGATCCTGGGCTATTTAAAAAAAATATTTCTTTACAAGAATATTTACATAAATTAGAGGTTACTCTTATGTTAAATTAAGTTTTTTTCAGTCACTGTACAGAATATAAGTACATGTATTTTAGTGTGGATGTCCTTTATAAAAATTGCCATTATTTTGAAACTGAGATAATTTTAGAAGCCTAATAAAAAAGAATCCAATTCGAGTTTCTCAATAACCATATAATGGGATTTAAATTTTGAATAGCATAAGGCAATTTCCAAAAATTATTAATTCAGTTCCACTGTGTTTCTCCTAGATGCAAATAGCTTCAATTTTGTGCATAAGCACTGTGTGTGCATTTCAAATACGAAGGCTGAAATTATAGGCAGACTGGAAAATACAGAAGAATAGAAAAATATGCTGGACACGGAGTTTTGGTTTCTCACACTATTACTATGGTAACCACTACACATTATTCCTAATGAAAACACGGTAGTGATGAATTACTATTTATTTCTAAGTTCAACATGCTTTGTAGACACCTACCTTGTAAGTCTAGGGCTACCACAGCAGTATCGTCTTCTAACCCTTCAATCACCTCGCACTTGTATCTCCCGTAATCCTCCAGGGTGAGATGGGTGATCACCAGAGAAGCGTCATTGTCACTGTCTCCTTTCAGAAACACTCTACCCTGGTAGCCTCCATAGGTTTTCTTGTGGTATCCCATAGAAACAAAAACATCCACTTCCTTGAGGTAATCTGAAGTTAGCTTGGTCCACTTAATTCGGATTTTGTGGATTCCTGAGCCAAATGCTGTAGGGTCTCGATAAAATTTACATGGCAGTGTAACGTTGCCACCTCTGTGTGAGAACACCTTGGCTTGTTCTGCTTCCACGAGTAGACGGGGGCCATTTTCTGCTATGGTTAAAAAACAAAAAGAAAGAAAAGAAGGAAAAAAGAAAGAAAGAAAGTAACCATTAAATGTGCTTTTTTGTTTTGTATAATGAAATGTGCTACATTATAGGATATCTGACAAAAATAGCTTTGATGATTGTCTCTATATATAATCTTTTAATTTTTTTTATTAGTGCATTATATTTATACATAAAAGTACAGTTCATTCTGACTTATAAATGCATATAACAAAATTTTCTCCACTTCAGTCCCTATTACTTCCCATTTCCATCCTCTTCTCTCTCTCTCCTTGTTCTCTTCTAATACTCTTTTGTTTTTTCTTCTATTTATTGTTTTTTTTAAATTGGTGCAAAATGTTTATACATAAAAGTGAACTTCATTTTGATACATTTATACATGCATATAACATAATTAAGTTGATTTCATTCTGTCTTTCCTATTCATCCTTTCTCCCCTTTCATCTACTCTATTCCACCTTTCTTCCTTCTATTTTCACAAAATGCCCCACCCCCTTTTGTTTTTCTCCAGGTTACACATAGGAAGCAAAATATTTGACCCCTGAATTTTTGAGTCTGGTTTATTTCACTCAGCATAATGTTCTCCAGTGCTACCCATTTACCAGTAAATGAATGTAATCTCTTTTGAACAAGATAGAAAGGTATCTGTAAAATTTAGAAGGTATCTATAAGGTAGTCATGTCTTTTAAATCGCAAAAAAGGGGAAGATAGACAGTATAATTATTAAGAAATATTGGATTCAAGACTCCATAGTCATCCGAAGTTTGATGATTTATTTCATTATAAATTCTATTTATATTTCTGGTTCCATTTTCCTTTATTTAAATTTTGGAAATATAGAAACAAGTTCAAGAGAAGTGACAGAGTTCCAAGATTTTTTTCATTAATATAAACCTCCAAATTCCAAGGTCAGTTAATCTCATCTGGACATTCTACTCCAGTTAAGTCCATATTATATTTATAGAAAAAACTAAAAAGCAGTCTGATTTACTTTATTGTTTGGCTCTGGCCAAAGAATTCAAGATATCCTCACACTTATGGCTTCTCTTCAAACATGCATCTGTGATATGCTATTCTGAAGCATTTCAGACAATGTGTTTATATTTCATTTCTACCCCAAAGATAGACCTCACAAAGGTACTTTTAATGAATGCTGTTATCAAACTACTGATTTTGAAATATATTCTTCAAAATTTGAGTGTTAAAAGTGTACCCAAAGTTATACTTGTTTTTCTGATTAACCAAAAAAATTATTTGCTGATTTATTCTCTTTAAATGTCATTGTATTCCTTCTTTTTCCTTTCTACTATGCCTTGTTTTATAGTTTTCTTATCACTTCTTCCTTTTCTTTCCTTGCCCTTTGTCTTCCTTCTCCCTCCTCCAAGGACTTTACCACTTTCCAAAGAGCACCACAATATTCCAAGTCTGCCAAGTCAGTAGGGGCTGCTATTTGTTTTTTCTTTGTTGTATGTTATTGTTATTTTTTAAAGAGAGCCAGCTGTTATTTTCAGATCTTGGCTTTCTCTGGGGTTTCCCCTGGTTAGCACAATGTTCTTTTCACCTTGACAAGGTCTCTTGAGGATGTGCAAGATTCAAAAATGAGAAAGCAATGTAACCGCTCCTGAACACACCTTTTGTCCATAGCTTTCAGAACAGCAATGCAGCTTTAAAGCCCTTGCAACATGAGATATTGAATATTGATAGGTATTGAATAATCTTTGCCCATGAGTCATTTAAGACGTACAAATCACAAGGAAGAGTAACCATTCACCTTGAGACAGATTTCAACACCTCAGTTATTTAGTGGCATTCATACATAGGATACTGAATTTAAGATAAAATGTCTGCAAAACAGATGTTGCTTTGCTATTTTTATCATATGGCACTCAGAATTTAAAATGAGAATATCATTTAATTTACAAGTGTTTCCCAATTGTCAAAAACTAGAAAGTTTTATAAGCCATCAATGCTCTCACTTTCAATAAATAATGAAACAAGAAAATAATGACTTTATTTAGTATTTAGTCAAAATAAATCATAAATCCAGATGATTAGGCACGTCCTTTATATTCCATTCTGTAACTCCTTATTTAGGGCAAGAAAACCTTAAAAGATAAAGATAAATCTCTTTTCACTCTATCTTTCCTGGAATCCTGCCCCCCCACCCCCGCCACAATCTCCCCAATGACTGCATACCATTTCTATCTAAACATCTCTAGCCTTCTATCTGGAAAGAGAAAAAGGTGCTATTGACTTGGTGCTCAGTAATGCCTGAGGGCCATAGGTTTCCAACCCAGTGTCTTGGGGAACACTGGAAAACTGGGCTTTCCCATGCTGGGATGTGAGGAACAAGGGCTTTCATGTGATATAGACCTTCCTTAGGTAAGGTTAACCTCACTTCCTCAATTTGCTATCTCTTTAGTCTTTGGCAAGTTGTGCAAGCTCAACTCTAATTTCCTCATAAGTGAGTTATATTTAGTAAGAACTACCATATGTAGTGGACCTAATTCTCATAAAGCACCTAGAACAATGGCTCACCAAAAGCAAGTGGGTACTAACTGCTAACTGTTCCTATTTCACAGCTTTTAGTTACTATGTCTCTGATATGATACTGCTCATCACTAAGCAAAATTTTGCATATATTAGCCTTCCATAATTTCACCTAAGTATAAACTTTTAAACCATATGGAGTGAAAATAAATACATAAAATGCCACCTGTGTTATATAGGAGACTTGGAAATTTGTGTGGTTTAGTGTAATCATAAGCTATTCCAGAATGAATACAAAGTCTGAATGTTTTACAAATTAAAGAGCTAGAGTAAAGATCAAAACTCCTGTACAAAGAGGCTGAGACTTCTAATGCTTTTCCCTCTGTGGTTAACTTGTGAATTTTTTCATAGGGTTTTAGGAGTATATACCCCAGATGTTTTTCTTCTACTCTAGCACTGTGAGTGAAGGATTACTTAACGTGGTATATTAGTGAGTATTGATCAGACACCAAATCATTTTTATAGCAAGGTTACCAGAATGTATACAATCCTAGCATTCTTATTTCTTTAGGGAGGAGTTGAGGTAATACGTGCCAGAAGTTCCTAGCTGAAATTCGAAGAACCCTAAGAATGGTGTGTAACACATTTAGTGACATTTAGAGCCCTTGAGGTTCATTAACCTAAATCCCCAACATGACCTTGAGAGTAATGTTTTTCATGTGCTTGTTTTCAGAAGATCAGGCTACCATTATACAGCATGGAGCCTGGCTGGAGGTGGCTTGTTTTGGAACAGGCTGTGGAAAATGAGCACTGGCCTCTGAGTCAGGGACTCTCTGGGTTCTACTGAGGGTACTACCATAGCTCAGCTTTGGGCACCTCCTGAAAACTTGGGGCTTACTAGAGTTATCAGGTTCTGTGTCACAGTTTGTGATCAGAGGGATCAGCCAGGAAACAAACTGAGTTGGGAAGGAGAGAGGGAAACTACAAAGTCAGCCAAAAAAAAGGGACCAAGAATGTTGATCACGAACTGCAGAGTGTTGCCTAGGGAGGGTCTTGGATCTGATCATTGGATTTAAAAATCTGGATCAGTTTTAAATTCATGCTTAAATAAAAACTGTTTGATCTACAGGGCAGTTGGCAGCAATTAAAATGTAAAATATAAAAATAAACCTTGATTGGTAGCATGAGTATTTCTTTTTTTTTTCTTTCTTTCTTTTTTAAGGAAAGAATAAATAAACTGTGTTCATTTTCCTTTGTCTTTCAGTGCTAAAACACACTTAAGCATAGGGCTGAAGACCCTGGTGATTGTGCCTTTGAGCAAGGCTGCTTATTCAATATATGAGGCTAATTGGGGAAATTAAAGATGTCCAGTGGGTATTGAATTTTTAAATATAACCTTTAAGTAAAAAATTCTCTGCCTTTATTAGTGAGGGTCAATGACAGGGACTTGAAAGATTTGATGCCCTTCAAAGCCCAGAGTTGTCTCCAGGGAAAACAGCAGGGCATGGTGAGAACACTGATGGGGACTCACTGAACTGGGGCCTCTTTATTATTTTACAAATTCTGCTGTGAAATCCGGAGGATATCATTTAGTTTTACCAAATAATGAAAGCAATGGTATGGCCAAACTTAACTGATCTTTGTACTTGCTCTGTATTTTAAATTAAGCCTTTTAAAAGTATTTGCAGAAAACAATATTAACAAAATGCTATGAAACCATTACCTGTAGTTCTCAGTTCTATTAAAAGTGGAATTGTTTTTGTCAGTTGCTATACAAAGGAATTCAGGTGACAGAATATGAGCAGGTAGTGTGGATCAAAGTTTGCCTTTTTGAAATGAATTATGGATTGTGCAAGATAATGAGTCTTGATGTTGGTTACTTTGACCACTGGGGTATAAATAAAGTAGACTCCAGATTGGATTTCTTAGGCTAGTTAAAAAAGAAAATACCTGGGAACTTATTCAAACAGGCTAAATAAAATGCTAAATACAGGCATTAAAATATATCTCGCCCTCCAAAAAAAAAGACCACATCATTTAACTTTTTTAAAAAATATTTTTTTTGGTGTGTGTATGTATGTGTACACACATCTGTAAATATACACCACTTTAACCATAGTTGGTATGCAATTTGGTGCCATTAATTACTTTAACCATGTAGTATGATCATCACCACTGTCTCTTTCTAAAACTTTTTCTTATTCCCAGTCTAAGCTAATTTCTCTCTTAACATTACAAACTCATATCCATTAACTAAATTGTAAGCTCTGTGATGAGTCATTTGAAAAAACTTGCATAAGGTTTTAAAAATACTTCCTTATTTTTGTGACATTTGTTATTGTTTCTTTAAGTTTGGATGTGTAAGACTAACACTTTGGAAGCTGTTATTTTCCTTAGAGTGGCCAAAGCTGGCTAGGGGATGAGTAAGCAGGATCAACTGGAATCCTTATCACTAGGCTTACCTTAATCTATTGAAAGCAATCTCTCTATCCAGTT